AATGATAAAAATACGCAATGTCTTTGACCTTGATTTAAATTTATTATAATCTTTAAGTTTAGGCGCCAGGTAGGGTCCCGTGGCCTTTTCAATCAGAATGGACCCACCAAAGTTTTTTTAATGTATTTTTGCCTGCTGAACACGATTATCGATGGTGGGTCGCGATCCAGATGGACAATTTTTTTTTATCAACAAATTTTATAAACAAATAAAAATTATTCATTTTTTTGGAAAAAAAAATTTTTTTCCTATTGTTTAGCTCATTTTAAACAAAAAAGTTTATATGCACCATATGGCTAAACCCAATACTTTTCCCGTAAAAAATTCGACAACTTTCAAAAAATGCGTTTTTTTGCTATTTTCAATAGCTTGCTACTTAAAGCCCGATTAATATTTTTCAACTCAACTCCTCTCAAATTGTTAGACAAACATAGTATTTTAAGAATACGTAAAGATCAATTGATTTTAGTTGGTTGTTACTATCCAGCGAGTTTGACGGTCTGTGCCTTTTTAATGTGACCGTACGGCATCGGCACAATACAATATATTCTGGCATTAAATGTTTGTTATCTGGACAGCCACACATAGATTGTTTTTTATGTATTTTTGCCTGCTGAACATAATTATTGATGGTGGGTCGTAATATCGAAGGTGATCAATGTTTTTTTATTAACAAATTTTATAAACAAATTGCAAAAATGTAATTTTTTCTAAAAATAATGTTTTTTCCGCTTCTCAAGCTTACTTTAAACAAAAAGTTTTGTATAATGTACATCTGTTAAGCCCATACTATTTCCGCAAAAAAACGTGAACTGTAAAAAATTTACTTTTGCCGTTTTTCACACAGCTGCAACGTGGGGCTTTTATTATAATTTTTTACTAAAAAGTTTTTAATTCTCCAGTTCATGCAGGGGTTTAAGAATGTCTTATAGTTGATTATTTTTATTTGTTTGTTATTTATGTTCAGTGAACTTAGCAGCTTCATGCTTTTTTTTTTTTTTTTAATTTATTAAGCCATTAAGACCGAAGTCCAATAGGCCAAAAGATACAAGATTTATACAATATACAAAATTATTAATTTAATTTACACATCTTAAACGTAAGAATTATACACTATTCCGCTATACAAGAAAACACATCAGTTGAGTCGCACTTTGCTAAATATTGACATTGCAAGTATTAAGAAAGGAACATACGCACAGACAGGCATCTATTTTAGGTTCCGTTACAATGCTTTCGATGTTCAGTGGTGGGTAGAGTTTTATTATTCTGAGTTTGCGGATCATTTCCTCTCTTTGTGTATCGTATAGAGGGCAGTTCCATAGAATGTGGTTTATGTCCTCCTGTTCAGCTCCACAATCGCACTTGGCATCATTTAGGATATTTACCCTAGTGAGTGAGGCAGCTAAGTTGTAGTGGTTGCAACGTATGCGATTTATGGTAACTTTTATTTTTCTACTGAGATTGAGATTATAAAACCATGATTTATTTCTCTTTTTGAAGTAGTTTTCAAAGTAGTATTTGCCAGTAGTAAGGGGAGGGCTGGAGATCGTATTGAAAGTATTTAGTCTGGCTTTTTTCTTAAAGAATTCAAAAAAGTCTGAGAAGGGGATCTGGGGATGAATCACATTTTCAGATAGACCAGCTAGTTTGGCAGCTGAGTCAGCCAGTTCATAACCAGAAATACCGATATGAGACGGAATCCAGAAGAATTTGATTCGGCAACCGTTTGAATTTTTATTAAATAGAAAAACTTTATTTTTAATGTCAAGAATATAGGGGTTGGTTTTAATACTATATTTTGTAGAGGATAAGGCTTCAAGTGCGCTTAGAGAGTCAGTAAAATAGGAAATGTTCCCATCTAAGTGGTCGAGAGCGATGTCTAGGGCGTCCTTAATAGCAATACATTCAGCAGTGAAAATTGAGGTTTGCGGGTGGAGTTTCCGACTGGTTTGTAGGTTGAGACTTGGGCAGATACAGGCTGAATCAACGTTCGTTTTAGACTTACTACCGTCAGAAAAATTTTTGAGGGTTTGGTTTTTTGAAGAGAATTCGATGAACAGATCGTTGGGGGAGTCAGAGTTTTCAAGTATTTTTCCAAAGCTTGAGTTAAAATCAATTGATGTAAGGAGTGTTTGGTAATCATGTTCATACAAGCAAGGATTGTTAAAACTAAGAATGTTGTTTGAAATCCAGTCAACTTTTTTGGTACAGATTTGTAGAACTTTATTTAAAAAAGAGTTGTTTTTCTGCAAAACATTTTTGTGACATTTTAATGAGGCAAGGGTAAGTGACGATTGACATGAATAAGATTTTGTTATAAAACGACAGCCTAACTGGATAGAGCGATCCATAATACTTGTTAAAGAAGATTCAGCTAGTAAAATATTAGTCGGGGTGGTTATACGATAGCCAAGAGCTATACGAATAGCTTGATACTGAATTTTTTCTATTTTATTAACTAGAGTAGGGGATGTATTAAGATAAATAATACTGCCATAGTCGATAATAGGTCTGATAAAACTTTTGTACAGAGTAAGGAGTGTCTGTGGGTCTGAGCCCCACCAAGTTCCACAGAGATATTTTAGAATGTTCATAGCTTTAAAGCACTTTTTTTGAACGTTTTTAATATGTGAAAGAAAGGTAAGTCTTTAATCTAGAGTGATACCCAAAAATCGAACTGAAGAGCTGGAGGGGATTAAAATATTTCCTATTCTGATATGCGTGTTTCCAGGAGTTATCATTTTTCTGTTGAAGTGAAGGAACCCAGTTTTGGGTAGAGAGAGGTGCAACCCAATTTTAAGTAAGTTATTTTTTATTCTTTCCGCTGAGTTACCTATGATTTTAGAGGCCCATTTAACAGACGAGAATCTAATATAGATGGCCAAGTCATCCGCAAATTGGGTTATTTTGACATTTTTAGGAAGGTTTTCAGTGATATCTTTTGTAGCTAGAGTGTACAGAAGTGAACTAAGAACCCCTCCCTGTGGGAGTCCCTTGTGCAAGGTTCTGGGGGAATCCATATTGACTTCAGAGTTAATATATCTTCCATTAGTGATAAAATTTACAAAAAAGACGAGGTTGGATGGACAGCCCAATTCCGATAGTTTACTGCAAAGAGTGGCAATGTTAATGTTGTCAAAGGCTCTAGTGACATCTAGAAATACAGCTTCAACTTTTCATACGAGTTGCGCTACATTGTCTAAACACGATTTCCCCTTGCGGAAGCCATTTTGTGAAGGAGGAATCAGATTATAGTATTCTGCCCACCACTGAAGCCTAGATTTCAAAATAGTTTCAAATAATTTACACGAACAAGATGTTAATGCTATTGGTCGGAGGCTAGCTCCATCAGCTTTGGGTATGAAGTGGACGTATGAATTTTTCCAGGATAGAGGGTACTGATTTTTGCTAAACATTTCGTTAAATATATCTAAGAGAATTAGTTTAAATTTTGTTGGTAGGTTTTTAATAGTTTCAAAATCAATACCATCTAGACCTGGGGCCGAATCGGAATTTTTAGTTTCAAGAGCGACATTAAACTCAAGAAAAGTAAAAGGGGCTGAAAGGAACTGATTGATAGGCCAGGTGGGCGTGGGTGAGGGAGTAAAGAAGTCATTAACCAGAGGAGCAAGCTTGTTAAGAGCTTCGTTGACGAGATCCTGATGATTCAAGTTAGATTCAACGTGTTTAGGTTTAATTTTGACCCAACTGTTTTTAAAATTTTACACTGATTCCATACATAGGTAGGATTTGTCTTAAAATTAATAGATTCCGCAAATCGTTTGAAAGAGTATTTTTTCTTTTGCTTGAGAGTTTTTTTGGCGATAGCACAAGTTTTTTTATAGTCAATAAGATCGAATAATTTACCAGAGTATTGCCATTTTTTAAAGGCCACTTTTCTTAGTCTTAGAACTTTGTTGCACTCTTCGTCCCACCACTTAAACGGGTTGTGACCGCTTTTTTTGTTTTTGTTGAATTTATAATTTGCATTGCATTGAGGGGTAGAAGATACAAGCGCGTCAACGATATTTTGAAAGAAAAAATCATACTTGGCATTAGGGGAAAGTTCATCGTAGTAAGTTGTGAAAAAATTCGAATAAGTATCTTCTACCTTTTCAATAAATATATTCTAGTTAGTTTTTTTAGATTTTAATTTAACAGTTTTTTTCTTGTATTCACATTTTTCGACGCTTATATCAATATAAAAAGGAAAATGACCTGTACCACACGTCTCGTCATTTACTGAAAAGTTTACTTTATCCGAGAAATTGAGAGAAGTGAGTATGAGATCGATGTTAGATTTGTTATTGTTGTAGGAATTCACGTAGGAATAGGTCGACGTGTTATGGATTTGCAAATTATAGAATTCGATAGATTTGGATAAAAAGGCTCCGTTTACATCGGTACGAACGCAATTCCAGTCCTTGTTATGAGCATTGAAGTCGCCTATAAATAAGGTATTTAAATTTTGGTTGATATTAGAAAAAATTATATCCCATTCATTTTGGGTTAAAGTGATTCCCGAAGCTCTGTAGCATACAAGTATATCAAAGACTGGATTTGTATTATTTATAGTTATACCACAAATTTCTGTTAATCCACAGGTAAGGCGATATTCACGATTTCTTTATAGCACAGATTGTTACGAATGATAAGGATGATTCCGCAACCTTTACAACGAGTCCTGTCTTTTCTGTAGGTTAGATAGCCAGGAAAGTTAATATTGTCACTTTTAGTCAGCCAAGATTCAACGAATATGAGAATGTCATATTTTTTATACACACACTGA